AGTCAAAACGAAATAAAACTAAACTATAATGAAAAATCTAAAACTATTATAACCTTGGTACGTTCACACAGAGGGTGTCGGAGTGAAAGAAGTGGGAGGTTCGTCCGTGGCCTTTACCGTTTGCACTTTTACAGGACTGAGGAGGAGAGGGCGGAGGTGGCGCAGCGACTGGAGCTGTGGAGGGAGGAGAAGAAGAGAAAAGAGGACAGGGAAGAAGAGCGGAGGCTGATTGAGGAGATTCAAAAGAAGAGATGGGAAAAGGTGCTTTCAGAGAAATGTGGCTGCTGTTACCCGTTTTTTTTTTTTTTCTTTATTGAATTGATGTCCAACATTGACACTCTGTAGATGCTTGTTTTTAAAAAAGGATTTCTGTTGGCTAGGAGGAGCGTCGCCGGCAGCTGGAAGTGAAGCTGGCCCTCGAGGAGCATCTTCGGCTGAAGAGGGAGGAAGAGGAGGAACGGGGGAGGAAAAGGAGAGAGGAAGAGCGGAGAGAAATGGAGGAGAGGCAAAGGGAGGCAGCAAAGATTATTAAATGCTTCAGCGAAAGGGTACTACGTCTTAAAACCTCCCAAAACGGAAAAACACAAAACTAGAAGCTCCTGTCAAAGATCAAGCATTTACATATTTCTAGGTTAGATAAGACTTTGTCAAACGCACAGCTTCACTGCACCTTTTCAGGATCTTCACAAGGTGGAGGCAAAGCTTCACGAGAAACAGCTGAAGGAGAAAGAAGAGGAGCAAAGACAAAAAAGAATTGCTGCTAAGCTGAAGGAGAGGGTGCGCGTCGTTCAGTAAACAAAGTTAGTCACAACAAAGAAACAGTTCATCTGAATGTTTGTTCCTCATACAGGTGGACGGTCGTATAAGCAGAGACCCCTCCAGATTAATCCGTCCCACCCAAGGATGGCAGGAGAGGATGAAACATGTTGGATCTTCAGGAGACCAACCGGTGCTACAAATGTTTCACAGGTCGGTGCTTTTTATTTATTTATTTATTTTTACTTTCCAGGTGCCTTAACAGAGAGATTTTATATGATAATAAAAAAGGGATGTTTTTGTTGCAGAGCTGTTCCCACTTGGAGACAAGGCCTGTGAGGAGATCAGGAGTCTTTCAGAGTTTTTAACTGTGTTTTCTGCCTTTTAAAAGAAAACGAATTCAGGAAGGATTGTGCATTTATTTGATTTTGAGTTATATGTCTATGAATAAAATAAATTTCCATTTTACTTCGTCAAACTGTTGTCATTACAGCGCTCAGAAAGAAGAGCAGCATCTCAGAAAACCTCACTCAGCTTGTTAAAGATCATGACACACTTTGGAAAAGACTGAACAAGCAGAGCTCTTGCAGGAGAAAATTCTCCACGGAAAACTTTTAGAACCACGTGTTTTTGAAACGACAACAGCATAGTAGTAAGTGTAAACTAAATTCAGCATATCAGCACAGGCTATTTATTTAAACTTGCCAAGCGTGCATGAGCTGACGTGGGGCTGTTTTTGTAGTCGCAAGACCTCAGCAGCTTGCAGTCGACTGTGAGCTTGTCATTACAAGTGCTGAAGGGTCAGGTGTCAGGTCATCTGTCTGACAGCTGAAGCTTGGTCAAAACCGGGTCATGCACTAGGAGTCAAACTTCCAAAAGAATCAGCCTGTTGCAATGACCTTAAAAAGTCCAGCCTTTACCTTAATGCTATATTGACAGAGGATGCAAGAATGCATGGTTGCAAATCTGAAGAAACATAAATAAAAAATGTTAAAAGTGGATTAAATAATAAAATGACAATAAAATACACTTATATATAAGCACGACAAAAGTATATAAAATAATCTCCTACAATCTTCCCCTAAATCCAAAAGTAAAAGGTTCAAAGGAACTTGCATGAACGCTTTTATTTTGAAAAACAAACGTACCGGAAAAGATTCCCCATAGGTGCGGAAACAAAGATGGCGGAAGGGGAGAACCAGTTTGAAGAATTAGAGCAAATAGACTTTTTGAAAGACCGACATGTACGGTTCTTCGAGAGGACGCTTCAAGTGCTGCCGGAGAGATACGCGTCTCTGGAGACAACCCGGTGAGTGGACCGTGTGGACCGTGGCGCTGACTTCCCGGGTTCGGTTGAGAAAACTTGACCCAGCAGCAGCAGCAGCAGCATGTCACGTGAAAATACTATTCTCCCTTTTTTTTCCCCCAGAAAAGGCAACTCAAAACACACACCCCAACATCTCGGAGTTTATTCATTACATATTATGTAATTAAAATGGATGCTGTTTAGGAGCAGAGTGTTCTCTTTGGAAGCAGAATTGAACTAAACCAATAGATATTGTGTCATAAGCTTGTGTTGAAGCTAATTTAAAAAAAAGGCTTTTTTGAAAATTCTTTGACATTTATTAGGTTGTGTATTTATTGACATTTGCCTTGTTTCCAGGTTATCTATCCTGTTTTTTGCCCTGTCTGGTCTGGACGTGTTGGACGCCCTCAGTATGGTTGACAGGAACATCATGATTGAATGGATTTATTCACAGCAAGTTCTGCCTGCAGAAGACAGTAGGTCACATTAAAACAAGTTATGACAATTAAATAAAAATGTTTTTTTTTTTTTTTTGTGGTCATGTGTTGTAGCAACTCGGCACATCAAGAATTTGGCGACTGATGCTTCATCGTCCCTGATACAGAGATGTTTGAATGTGTTATAATAATAAGATAAAGTTTATTTCCATATATTTCTGAGCAAAAGAAGCTTGAATGTCGTACAGATTCTAAATGTTTCCTTTAGCATCCATCCATCCATCCATCCATCCATCCATCCATCCATCCATCCATCCATTCATTCATTCATCTATTCATTCATTCTTATTATTATCATCAACTGGTGGTCCGTGGGCCACTTCATGTTTGTAGAATGAGGGCACTTCTGGCCAGTGGGGGTGATGTTAAAAAGTTTCACCTGCTTCTTCCTTTCAGGGTCACTGGTGCCCAGTGGTGGGCACAGTTCCCCTAAAGCTCTAAAGCACTAATAGGGAGACTTATTCTCTGCTTAGTGCTTTAGAGCTTTTGCTAATTTTAAAATTTATTAGTGGATTTGCACTTGCTAAATTTAGAAGCACAAACTGAGGTCTGTAAATGTTATTGATCAACATTAATGTTAACAGCTGACGGTGAAAGCTGACACACATTTTGTTCATATGTGTCACTTATCCAGTAGGTGACAATATATTGACAATAAATGAACCCAAATACAGSTGTGGGATGTCAYTGATGAGTCTTAAGAGAGAAACATGGCAATATGTGACTCATGTTGTCTGTTGAAGAATGTTCATGGGTTGACTGGGTTATTTTAGTGCTTTAGAATTAGCTTTTGCTAAAACTTTCAGTCCATTAGTGCTTTAGAATCAAGGGACCTAAATGTTTGAGTTAATGTTTTAGGGGTAGTGGAAATAATTTTTAGATCAGTGCTGCCCACCACTGCTGCTGGTGCCCAAATTCAACAGTCTAATATTAACTGATATTGGGCCTCATGCAAGAACCATTCGTACACACAGATTTGTTCTTAAGTTGTGCGTACGAGTGATTTAGGAGAATTTGTGGCATTCACCAATGTTTTCGTA